GTTCATCACATGTGGTAGAAAGGCTTGTGAGAAGGCTCAGAACTCACTGATTCTTTCAGTGTTTCCTGAGACATTTCCCACAATTCAAGAGTCAGGCAGCGGAGCAGCTGGAGCCGAGGAGCTGTCTTTTCCTTGTTTGTGAAATACACAAACATTAGCCCGCTTGCTTGAGTTCATGTAATTTGTGACACGGTACTGTAAACATTGCCCCATGTTACTAAGCTTCTTTGAAAAACAGTCTCTGATGGGTTCCACTGGATCTACTATCCACACTATAAATACCCCATATTGTTGGAGGCTGAGGCTGCTGCTTCTTTTAACATCACAATGAAAACTTTCGCACATGAAGTGTAGTCTTCATCTCTGGGTATTTCCTTGGAAAGATCCCCAAAGGATTGCTGTGTTAAAGGTCACAGGCCTTTAAAAGGCTCACCAAATGGCTTTCCAGAGAGACGGCCAGGAACTGCATGAGCTTATGTACTTTGCAGATACACAAAAAACATGTCCATGACTTAGAATGTGAATAGACAGATCTAGGGAATAATAGCTTCTTTTCTGAAAAGCAGCAGCCCTACTCAGTCTCAGAAGTCCCTTTTATCTGAGGATATCAAAGGCTTCTTTTTTAAAAAAAGCTTTTCTTGTACTCAACATTCAGGAAGATTTACAAGTGTGTAGCCAAAGGGAATGAATGCATTCAGGCATTTTCCAAACCCCAGACCCTGCCAGAAGGAAGACTGGGCTCTGTTCTTTGTTGAGGGTGCCCTGCACCTACCCCCCTTCTCAGTAACTAAGGCTGATGTGAGCAAGTCCCACTTGCCTGTGCATGTGGGCTCCGCTGGTGGGTTCCCAGCGACTCTCTTTTCTATGCTGGAGGCATGACACTCACTCCTGTGGGCAGAGACTTTCCCACAAACCATCACTTGCAGAAGGGCTGCAAGGGACGGCATTCTTACCAATAGCTCTGGAATACAATTGGATTTTGATCTTTGAGGCATTTTTGGATTGAGTCATCTGACTCCGCCCACATCAGTGAGAGCCCGTTGTCAGGTTCTAGATGGTAGCCAATAACTGTGTTACTTGCCTGGTGGCCTCACTTAAGAGTTGTCCCTGCCAAGGAACGTGGGTAGCTATTCCTAATCAACCAGCACTTGAATGGGAAGCTTGACCCATGGTTTTGGAAGTAACAATCACCATGGCTGACAGTCAGAGCTAGCGAGCACATGCTAGATTCTAGGCACTGTGCTCCACACGCCTTATCTTCGTCTCTCATTAACCGCCTGTGGTGATTACTGTCATTAGTTTCATTTTACCGATGAGAAGACTGAGGCCCACAGACATTAAGTAACTTGCCTGATATCTCATGGTTAGTAAGCAATGGAGCCTCGCTTCATTCAGCAGGGCCAGCTTCGCAATGTGTGGGCCCCAGTGCAAAATGAAAACATGGTCCTTTTGCTAAAAAATGATTGAGAACCTTAAGATGGCAACAGCAGAGCATTAAACAGAGCATGGGGCCCTTCTAAATGGGGGGTCCTGTTTGTACAAACTGCACATCCCAAAGCCAGTCCTGTATGCACAGACATTCTGATTCGGGGACGCACACTCTTCACCGTGTCCCAGGGCTGCTGACAGCGCAGGGTTCACCAGAGATTTGACTGGCACGGTCATAACAAATGGGGGCATCATATGTGTACTACTCAGACATCATCCTCTGTAGACATCAGCTCTCTCTTCATAAAAGATGTGGGATTCTTTTCTAGCTGGGGATGGACAGAGCTGAGCCCTGCCTTGGTCTTTGTCATTCATAACACACCGTCCTTGCTGGGATGGCCGTCTCCTTTGAAAGTCACCAGACGCCAGTCGGTGGACTAGCTCCTTGGCTGTCTTTTGCTTTACTTCAGTCCAGTTCCAATCTTCTGGGCCATTTCTGCCTGATTGACTGCTTTTCTTGTGGCTGTGTATCCTCCCTCTCATTTCCTGGCCTTCACCACCTCTGGCAGCACCAAGACATACCTGCACCCCAAGTCCAGTCCTGGGCCCACCCAAGTCACTGAGCCAGCCAAACGGAGGTACAGACACTCTGTCCCTTGTTCTGGGGCTGTGGGAGAACGACAGAGTTTCCGGAGGGAAAGTAGTAACCAACCGGCTGTTTTCTCCTGGGGCTTAGTTTTTTATTTCTGGAGACATATTGCTCAGAAGTGATTTCCTCCTACGCAAAACCCCAGGCCAGGTAATATGGCTAATACTCACCGGGGGCTTACTTTGTCTCAGGCTTTGCATACATGTATTTATTCTTCACAGGTAACTCGTGCTTCACATGCAACTCATCTCATGTTTAACAGCTGTAAGGTGAGCATTTTTAATGGCCTTACCTCTCAGATGAGGCAAGTGAGGCAGAAAGTTAGGTAGATGACCCAAGACCCGAGAGTCAGCAAGCAGAAGAAACAGAACAGGAGTCCATGTTGTTCCTAGTTCTAGAACCTACGTACGACCCTTACACCTCAACTCAAAGTTCTACCAAGCCTTCCGGAAGGCGGGGCTGGGCAGTCTCACAGGCTGGTACAAGTAGAGCCCAAGGTCCAGGAGTGTGGCCCTCCTTCACCTCAGAACAAACTTCCCACATGTGAGCTCTGGGATTTTCCTGGAGTGACGGCTTTGACTGACAAAGCGGGAGCCGTCTCTGCAAATAGACCATAGACGGGGGACAAAAATCCGCACACACACCCCCATGCACAAAACACAGCGTTGCTCAGGAATGGTGACCGCTTTGTGTCTGATACGAAGTGTTGTCCTGAAATATACTTACAGACTTATTTAAACAACACTTCACTTAGGTAAGTGCCCTTACCTAAGAACTTCACTTTAATTTCATTTTAGTGTTCTTGTCTGCATTGGTGTAGTGCATTACACTTCATTGATTCTGTTTCCACATTGCCCTTGAACCCCTCTAACACTAGGGTCTGGGTTGGCTAAGTGAGTCTAAGGACAACCGGATAGAATGAGGGGAACTGGATCTGCAGCTTCTGTGTTCTCACCTCCCTCTCATGCTCCTTGATGGCCCTGGAACGGCCCCTGGCCCAGGCAGGGCGGTGCGGATCCTCCAGGGGTAGGATGAGAGCTGGGGGAGGGTGCACAGCACACATGTCAGGGCTAAGAAGATGCCTAGTCTGCAGATTCAAAGCCTCAGTTTGTTTGCTAGTATCTGCAGTCTATTTATTTTTTTGGGGGGGGGGCAGATTATTTTTATTTTTATTTTTTAATTTTAATTGTTGTTCAAGTACAGTTTTCTGCCTTTTACCCCCAGCCCAGCGCATCCCCCAGCCCTCCCCACCTTCCTCCCATTTCCTTGTTTTTGCAGTCTATTTCTTTCTGAGTAATGATACTAACAGAAAACCTATGTTCTCTGATGCTAACCCAGCATTTATGAGACGGCCAAGCAAGAGTCATAAATGTTTCCAGAAGTTGCTAGAATGTTTCTGAGAGTCACCATAAACCAGCATAGTGTGAAGCTGTAGAGGCACATTTATTTCCTTTTGAAGAGGACTATGTTAATGTAAATCAGGTTGAAGGGCATGCCTAGAAAAAAAAGGATTTTGTCTAAATTCCTGAAAAAAGTTCCAAGACCTTTTTTGTTCCCCAGCATTAAATCAAAATGGTGGTGAGTAAAGAAAGGAGAGATTAGGAGGTTTGCCTCAATGCTTGTTGATAAAACGGAAACTGTCATTTAGATAATTTGTGATAAGAGGTTTAATGATTCTGAGTGGAAAGCCGAAAGGGGAAATAGCTGGGTGACTCACTGCTGCAGAGCAGAAAGCTACAGTGTGTTCTTTACAGGCGCAGGAAGGTGAGCGACACGCGGTCGTCAACATTCTTCGCTGCGTGCCATCCCCAGCACGCCCATGACCAGGAACCCAACGACTCACCCACTGGTGGATTTAGACACAAACCTCTCATGAGCTTCCCCAGTGTGGGAGGTCAGTTAGGTGACTGTCTAGATACTCATTGGCTTAAAAATGAGTGACAAATAATTTGGACTCTCATTTCTGTACAAATTGTGCTAATGCCATTAGCCATTTTCTTCCACCCCTACTGTCTTCAGTCCCATCCACATAGACCAAGGTCACTGCCAACCATGCTAAGTCACTTATGTAATTGCAGAATTCTCAAGAATGCGGATGTTGGCGTCTTCAAAGCACTATTTGACAAACATACTAGTAGACCTGGCTATGAAAGGATTCTGCTGTATTTAAAAATCAATTCCACCAACGAACATTTATTTAGCACTTGATAACCCACGATACAAGAAGTGGGTAAGGACAGGCTGATCTTACAGAGGGTGCCAGGTGGAAATAAACATCACTGTCAGTGTAGGAACGAGGCATGGCCTTGCTTTCCCTACTCTTTACTATTTTCAGGCTTCCTGGGGGAGGGCTGTGTGATCCATGGGTCCTTTCTGAATTTGTGCTTGACCTCAGAGCCTCCTTAATGCCGAGCATCCAGGAGCCTACGAGGGCAAATGTTGAAGGCAGCCATGGTCTGGCTGGTGGAGGGGCAGCCCTTGGGATGAGACTCTAAAGGAGGAGCTCTTTTCCGATCCCCAAATGACAATGGTGAGCCCTTTTCAAGTGCGCAGGTGTTTCTAAACCAGACAGGTCCAGGATGCTGGGCACTTCTGAAATGGATGGTACCATTTTCCATTAGAAATGTAATTCTGGGTGACCATAAATTTCCTGAAATGCAATCTAGCTAAATACATGAGATCCGGGAAACCTGGATCTCCTTAAAACTACTTAAAAGAGAAAAGGGAAGGTAGCAATGGAACAGTGTTCTGAATTGTATGGGCCTTTGAAATAAAGTTCTACTTCCTAAAGTTCATCAAGTGGTGGTGGTGGTGGTGGGGGATGCAGAAGTGTTTTAAAGGGTCTGTGGAGTCTTTTGTTCTCTACTCTAACTTCTCAGCCACCTCACCACTCTCCCTCTCTCTTTTTAATATTTCTCACCAGGGTATGGGAATATTGCTCCAAGCACTGAAGGAGGCAAAATCTTTTGTATTTTATATGCCATCTTTGGAATTCCACTCTTTGGTTTCCTATTGGCTGGAATTGGAGACCAACTTGGAACCATCTTTGGGAAAAGCATTGCAAGAGTGGAGAAGGTCTTTCGAGTGAGTACTGCCTCAGTGTAAACCCAAACCTCTGTGATCCTGTTGGCATTAGCCTGATGAGATGCAGGCGGAATCATTGGGGTGTTACTGCCACTTTTGCCACATCATTGCCACTTTTAACAGAATAGTCTAATGTCATGGTCACATTTTTTTCTTTGGCTGATGGTAGTCACAGGTGCTGCACCTAAACTCTTTTCTTTGGTGGTTACCTTCCGTAGATGGGTATTTCTGGAATCACAACACAGGGGGTGAAGTATGGGTTTGCCAACACAGGTTTTTCAGAAGATGTGAAGTATACTCTATTTCTTCGTCAAGGTGAAAGATGGGTTCCTCAGTGTATTTGCAACAGAGAACTATAAATTTATCCATTTTGTTTTTGGAACTTCTTCCTTGCATTTTATTTGCAAGCATTGTGTCTTCAGGGTGATCCTGGCTTCTAGAATCTCTTCCAGGGCCCATTTTTTTCTAGATACTGCTTTGTGTTTGGACCTGACTCCTTGTGGCCCCTCTCTCCTTCTCCCCCCACTGTTGAATGCTCCCTCTGCAATAGTATACAGATGTACTAATTCATACTACAGTGCTGGTGATTGCTGTTGTGTTAGTGTTTTTTTCCTCTTGAGAATACTTACCTTTAAACAAGGGGAAAAAATCTCATCTCAAGCAATTCTGTTACTAACGATGGCATTCCTGGCAAGTATGTGAGGATGTGATTGTACTGGGGTTCCCAGGCCCGTTAACTCATGCCCAGGTGCTTGATATAACAGAACAATTGTGATGCTTTGGTATAAGGTCCTTTTTGCTCTCTTTATCATTACTGACCTAATTTCTAAGTCTTTGAAACCTCCTTTAGGGAATTTTTCTCATAGTGACTTACCGCTTAAAAAATGACAATTTGAGATCTTTTTCTGAAACTAGCAAAGATGGGAAAGATAAACCGCTGGTAAGCTCTAAATAGGAGCTTGCTTTTCCCTGTGAGGCCAGAAATCAAGACTTCGACTTTTCTTTAGGAGATGCAGGAGAGCCCCCAGTTCCGTTCTGTGAGCGCAGGCTCAGTTTGTCGGAGGGGGTGCACACGGCACTACAGCTGGCTCAGTGATCCTGGATGAGCTGCCTCAGTTTACTCATTGGCAAAAGGGGGTAGATTTCTAATCTGCCTTTTAATGTTTCGATAATGATTAAATGAACTAATGTGTGGGAAAGAGGCTGGCAAGGGGCCAGGCACGTAGAGCTCAGAGCTACTGTGTGTCTCCTGAACGAAGTGTTCATTGGCAGGCTAGCCACCCGTTCAGATATCATCTGAGCGGCAATGCAGCGTGTGGGTTTTTGTGGAATGTCCAACAACCTTTGCTCCCTAGGTGCCGGCTGGTCAGCCAGCCTCATCAGAGCATGCACCTGGGCTCAGTGGTCGCCATGGAAACCACCAGAGCTCAGCCTCTCGGCTTCTCTGCTTCTCAGAGGTTCAGGTCTCCCTAAGCCAGGCATGACAACGCTGTCTTTGTCTCCCAGAGCTGTTCTCCGAGGAGTCCTTGTAGCCCCCCGAGTTAGAGGAAGATAAATCTGGTGGATTCAAATGGAGTTCAGGCATAGGTAGCCTTTCTGGGTCACAGTGTCTTCATTTGTAGAAAGAAAGGATTGAACGAGCTTTGAAATTCTGCTTTATGAAAAAAAAATGAGTTACTGTATTCTGAACAAGGGAAGAGGTTGCACTCATTTGACAACATTTGTTACCAAATGTGGGGACTTAGTTTCTCCTAATATATTTTGAACTTCAAGTAGAGTGCCGTTCTCCCTCCCCTGAAAGTTGCCTCTCCGTGGGTCATTCGGGACAGAGCCTTAAAAGTCTCACATTTCATTTTTATGCTAATGGCCCACTCAGTTCTTTACAACGCCACTGAAGACCGGGTGTCCTCCGGGAAGTGGGCGGCTGTGTCACAGAACTACCTGCACACCGCGGAGGCGCTTGCAGCCCAGTGGAGGGCGCTGTTGGGAAGTCGGAAGGGGTGATGCGTTCCAGGAGCCCTAACAACACACTTCCTGCAGATAGAAACAGCAGTTAGGCTTGCGTAGCCTTGGAAGAAAATCCCCAAGCTCATTGTCATTCATTTAAACTACATCTAAAAGGGTAGGTACTCTTAGGTGATTGTTTGAGAATAGAAAATTGTATAAACCAACAAAACTTGGGGTTGTGATTTTTGGTTCTCGTGGGGAAGGTTCATTTTTTTTTCACCTGCTCAATGATTGTTAAGCCTTTCTCTTTATTCGCCATGGATTTTTTTTCCAGTTCTTGGGAAAGAGAAGATTTTTCATGGAGTAAAGATAAAATATAAAATCAGCCTTTTAGGTGTCTGTGTTCTGAGGCGACATGATTGGGGTCCTTCGACCACATCTGAGCCTCATTGTAAAGAGTCACCGAGGGTAGCTGTATTATTTAGGAATGCTTCTGGCCATGGAGTCATGAAATGCTTGACTGTTGGGGTTCTTATGGGGTGAATGAGAGAAAACTCTCTTTTGCCCTCTGAAACTCAGAACTAATCAAGAAATAGACATAGGAGTCATCTATGGAGATTAAAATGTCAACTTAATTGCTAATAAGCTCACCAGAGAATGTGGCTTTAGCTCTGATGCCAGAGGGACTTAGTAAACACTTCACCCCGGGTTGGAAGGACTTCCTGGCTGTATTAGTTTTCTGCTGCATGTAACAAATGACCACAAATTTAGGTGCTGAAAACAACACCCATCACTGCATCACAGTTCCGGGGCTGACCACATTGCTGTGATGGGCTAATTAGAATTCTGTTAGCGAAGAAGAAGTTGGGGTCAACAAATGACAGTGTCTGCCGCAGGTGTCAACTGCTAGCCACACAGGCCACTTACAGGGAAGTGGTCCTTCCTCCCTCTTGCCATTAATCAGGTGGCCTTTGGGATCCTTGAATCAGTTAGGGGACACTGGGTTATGCGGGTGACAAATACCCGCAGCTTACTCTCACCCTGCCAGGTCTGCGGCAGCCTAGGCACCTCTCCGGGCTTTAGGGGCTTTGAGGGGTTTGGGTCAGGAGAAGAGAGCTAGCTCTTAAGAGCTGCTGGCTCTTAAGAGCTTTGACCTCTGGTCACAGCCCATTGACCTGACCCGCCCAACTGAAAAGGGGGCCTAAAATGTGTTGTTTGATCTGCAGAAAGGGAAGGAGGTGAGAAAATAGGGATTTCACATGGTTTTTCCTTGGGACTATTCCTGGGCTCACTCTAGGGTGACAGGCATCCCTAGGATTTAGAATACAAGGCCTGGAGATCATTCTTTGGGGACCACCACTCCAGTGAGACTCATTTCTGTCTCACATCTGTCTTCTGCTTGGTGACTTGCCTAGTACAACACAGTGAATTGGGGGCACAGCCTGGACTCAAACCGCTAATCCTATCTTAACCCCTTCCAGGGCAGGTCACAGATACTTACAGTCAGACGTATTAACTTGCATCGTGAAATCAGTGTGGAGTTTAGGTGTCTTGAATATACCACACTAATTCTTGGAGTAAATTTACAAATATTTATATAGTATGAAATAAAAAGAATTCTTCCTAGGTTTACAGGGGGAAATCTGTACAGTTGGCAAGAAAGGGCACTGACCTGGGATTAAGCAGAGCTGATCTTGGGTTCCAAAGCGGGTTTGGCAAGTGGGCAGCCTCTCGCTCCCCTGCTGTGGGCTGGATCTTTTGCTGGGCCAGGCCGACTGTCATTTGATGGGATGCTGTAGGAAAACTGGTCACATTTTGGACTGGATCCCATTTTCTCGCTCTGCGCCAGCTGGACTTTGGTCTCTGGTAGGAAGCAGCTGCCTCTTTTTATCTGGCTGATTAGCAGGCGTTCTGATATTAGCTCTATAACCAAGGGGCACCTTTATGTTTCTTTGATTGGCCTTTGCCCCCAAGGACATGGCAGACATGTTCAGTTGCCTTTGAAGGCAAAGGACTCTGGGTGTAGTTGACAAACAACAACAATGGTACCCTAGGTTTATGGGCGCCATGATTACCTGGCGACTTTGGAGCCTGCCACGTGCTTAAGACCAGGTGTTGACAATCTCAACTGCTAATGATGTTCAGTTAGGGCTAATCAATCACTCCAGATTGCAGGAAGGGGCTGGCAGTGAAAGCCAAGGACTCCTGAAGGCCTTTGCCATGTGCCTGGCATGAATCAAAGAAAGATTTGAGGAGCACAGATCTTCGTGCTCCTCCATTGGCAGGAGGCTTCTGCTTCCCACAAGGACCTTCTGAGTGAGCTCCCAGGAGCAACAGGGTTCTCTTAAAAAATTATTTCAAAAAGAGAAAAATCCTTGTTTTGGAAACCGGATGTTATTTTCAGCTGTGTGGGTAGACTTTCTAAGTTCTGATAGTGGAAGTGCCCACTGAGGAAGTAGTTATGCACATCAGCATCGGGCCTCAATGTGTGTGGCGGGGAGCCAGATGGTGGGCTGAGAGTGCCTGAGAATGTGTGTGTGTGTATGTGTATCTGTCTGCCTCTATAACGTGCCTGCCCCAGTGCATACCCTATTACAAATTCCTGAGAAATAACTCAGTAGGATTAATGTTACACAGATTATGTGAGTTTATTTTGATCAGAACAGTTTCAACCTGAACAATTGCTGTCTTATTTTTCCCTAAGGGACTAGAGGGGGTGGGAGGTAATTGTTTTAACATGCAAAGAAGGCAAATATTTTTCAACCTTTGTCAACCAAGTCTTTTCTAAATTAGTCCAAGGGCATTGACTAGCTATAGTGATAGGTCTGGTTGTGTACTTGGAACAGACTACATACATAACATCCACAGAACAGACTACATGGCATCTCTTACTGGCAGCCTGTGACACAGTTGGTCTGTGACAGTCCCTTCTTTTCTCTCCTCTGATGCAGGGTGACTCAGCCTCAGCACCGTTGACATGTTAGGCTGAGTGACTGTCCTGTGACTGTGGGGTGTTTAGAAGTGTTCCTTGTCCTCTACTCACTAAACCCAGG